CAAAAAGAATATTATTGTAAAAATTTAAGTGTTTAAAAACTTCCATTATTTTGTTTTTTTCGACAGTCTATGAAATTGAATCAACAGTTTTTAACATTAAGTCTATTAACGAAAAAAGCAATTGTTTTAACTAAAACATAAATGTTGTTATTGATTATCATTAATAAAAATAAACAAAACAATTTCATTTTCATTCCAAATGAGATACAATCTAAAAAAATTCATAAATAAATCATTATATATGTTAATGTTAACAAGAGAGAAAGGAAAGAAAAAAGAGATATATGTGACGACGGGAATTTTCTTTTTTTTTTTTGTCTTTCTCTCGTCCATAAATCATTGTTCATGTTGTTATCATTGACGATCAATGATCAACATGTACAATTAAATATGTATATCATTTTCGACGAGAGAAAAAAATGATTTTTCAAGGTATAAATACGAATGATTTTCTATGTAAAATCATTCAAATTTTTGAATCAAATAATAATCATTTTTCTTTTCTGTTTTAGATTGGCTTCAACCAAACAACATGAAACAATTCAACAACAAACCAGACAATAAAATAAACTGTAGGTATTAGTTTTACTTTTTTTTAATTTTACGATCATAAGGATGGTGGGGTAAGGCCTCCTTTGATCATTTTATTATATTTTTATTTTATTTTAGAGAATAAACAATGAAAAAAAGATAACATTAGGGTAAGTCATCTCATTCTATTTCATTAAATAACATTGATTAAATTTTTTTTTCTGTTCCTTTCAGCTATCAATATCATCGCGTCATCAACATCAGACACGGTAAGTAATTTTTTTTTTTGAGATGAGAATAGGTAGTGAGATTGAGGGGTTAGAGTGAGACTAAGAAAAGTGAGTGTTAGTAGAGAGTGGGTGAGTTATGTTCGTTGAGGTTAGGTTCTTCTTATTTACAGGACTTCCGGGCAGTCCCTAAAAGCCCGGCCAGGAATCGTCTTGGTGTCCGTGGCACACGACCAGGCTTATTCAGACTCATTGACATATCTCGCGGGGAGGATATGAGTCTGTCCTGTGCGTGCATGAGCGTTACGCTCGCCACGGCTCCACCACGATGGTTCCTGGTCGCGCGCGTGAATAGAATAAGCCATTCATTTCATCAATTCAACGTAATTTATTTGAAACGCAAGGAACGCAAAAAAGAATCTATCACGACGAGTCTATTCGATTGAAAAACGTTGAACACGATGATTCCAATAATCGACGACATAGAGATTGCCATGTCGATCGAAGGACAAACCACAGGGTCTGTTGAACTGATTTGCTCCTTCTCCTTTACCATTTCCACCCAGAATGACAGTACCTTGTTTCGCTCCTTTTGGCCAACGCATCACTCGACTATTCGACCAGTCTGCCACATAGATGGTACCCAATGTATCGACGAACAGTCCGTTAGGATGCGACAATTGTGTCAGAGCATTCCCTTGGCCTTGACCTCCAGCGACGACAATTCCTTCTTTTGCACCTTTATTCCATTTCATTACACGATGATTGTTCCAATCTGACACGTAGACAGTATGTTGTTGATCGACAAAGATGTAGTTCGGCGTGTTGAGTTGATTCAGACGAGCACCTTGGCCATTGCTGCCACCAGCCACAAGAGTTCCATTGTTGTCTCCTATTTGATATCGTCTTACTTCATGTTTGTCGGTATCAGAGATGTAGAGATATCTCTGATTATCCATGGCCAATCCCCAACACTTGATGTTGTCGATGAGGATTTCTCCTTGAGTTGTACCACTACGACGAGACCATTGTACGACTCGTCGATTGTCCCGGTCACCAATAATGAGAATATCTCTCTCTTTGTCGATCAATACATCGGTTGGTAGATTCAATTGATCCAATCGATTTCCTTGGCCATTGCCACCAGCTACAAGTTGTCCATTCGTATCACCCATCTTCCATTGGATGATACGATGATTCCAGTAGTCAGCGATGACCATCCTTTGATCATCATCAACGAAGATTCCGAAAGGCTGATTGAGTTGGTTGGTAGCACTGCCTTTTCCATGTCCTCCAGCAACAGTCACTCCATTCTGTTTCCATCGAGCATCGACTGGAATATTGAGAATTACTACGATGAACGAAAAAAAAAAGATATCATCGTTACCGAAGGGATTCCGTCTCTCGTGAGAGCAAATGCTACAAATATGACATTCATCTTTGAGAATGCTCGTTCCGCAGATAAAAATTCAGAAGTCTTTTCCTAGTTTCTTATGAGAAAAAAAGGATTTGATAACGATTCTTACATCTATGTTACTTCTAGTTCTTGCAAAGATCTTTTTGATCATAAAAATAACACCTGGAGATTGTTGTAAGAAGGTTCTCCAAGAAAGAGTAATACTAATTCCATGTAAATTTTTGATAGAAAAACATAAGGATCTGAATTTTTTTTCAGAATTGCAAGAATTCAGAATCTTTTTGGCAGAATGATCATTTATATGAATATCAGAGAAGATTCTATCTGTATCTTGTGAGAAGAATATCGAATCGTTGAACAACAAAATATCAAACCTAATCCCTATGTTTTTTAGGAAACCTTAAGGATACATGATTTTCTGTATGATGAATGTAAGATCTGCCGCAGAAGCTTGTAAGTATTTGCATAGAGAATGCCGGTGAAATTTTATAAGGCTTTTGATAAGTTATATCAAGCTGTTCGAAGAACAACCGTGATGTACTCTGAGTAAGATCATGAAAGGGCTAGGATACAGGCGAAATTGAACAAAGTTGAGAGGATTCCACGCGAATCTATGTAATCTGATAGGGATTCTACTTTTTCAAATGTTGAAAAGATGGATGTCAATCCTAACGGAGTTCTCCAGTGAAAAATATTGGGATCTATGGATTTTATGGGCTTTGAAAAGAAAGTGTTCTAAAATGCTATTTTTAACTTTTGATGAACACCATCTTCAAACCATTGTATAAGGGTCCTTGAAGAGAATCTTGATGACTAAATAAGATACTCTGTCAAAATCTGAAAATCTAAAAATAATGAGTATCTTCTATGAGGATCATGCTATAATCCTTATGTAGTTCTTATTCTGAGAACCCTTCTGTAAGCTCGCATGTTATGGATATGTTCATGAGGATCTGAAGAGTAAGTGTTTTGAAATGGTTGATATCAGAGTGAAAATGGAGTAGGAACAGGACAGAATGGAGGTGCCTATCTTTAAATTTTATGAGAAAGTTTATAAAGCAATAAATTAATATGCTACTAATTTATATCAATCGTAGATTTAATTATGTTCAAAAACTTATGTGTATTGAAGAGTGTTTTGGCAGAAGTTCAGTTTTGTAAAATCCGACTGGAATTGAAGTTAAATGGGAGTTAGAGTAGGATTTTAGAAAAAAGGAGTAGAGTGGTATGAAGTTCGAGCGGAACACACTGCAGTTAAAATTGATGTGGAGTTTTAGAAAAGAGTGGGGTGTGAATGAGTGTTGGTATCCTCTTCACCCTCACCTACACCCACACCCTCTAAGGAGATTTCTATGTTCTAGTGAAACTTATTTTGAGTCTGTAGCTCATTGTCTTGTAATACAGAATGTTCAAAAAAAAGTAAACTTGTATTATAATAAGGAGGACTTTTGTGATTCTTTTTTCTTAAATATTGAAAATTTATATTAAATTTTTTTTCGTACATATTTTGAAATCTAATTATTCTGATTTGTTTAATTTTATTAATTTACAATAAAATTACATTACATTTCATTTAAATTAAAATGAAAGTAAAAAAAATGGAATTATTTTATTTATTTTTAAATCGAATAAAAACAAATCTATTCAAATAATTTCAATTTCATTTAGAACAAATAAAGATATACATTTTTTGTAGTTATTATAGTTTTCAAAAAATTAAAATTAAAAAAATTAAAATTAAAATGAAATAATTCTTACCTTTATTTCGTTTTCGAAAGAAATTTACGAAAAAATATTTTCTATTTATTCTTTAATTAAAGTTTAACTGAAACGAAATGAATTTGACAGAGTTAGATATTTGAAATTAAAAAAATTCATTATTTAGGAAAATCCTTTAAATTTATTATTTTTACGTGTTTTTTTTAATGTTGTTTTTTCATTTTTTTTCTTGAATAAATTTCGTCTTAAGGAGAAAAAAGACAATAAAAAAATCAGCAAAAAACATTTTTTTCAAAACTATGAGGAAAAAAAGGTTAATAATGTGTGGTCTGGTGTAATGGATTGGTTTAGTGATCGTCATTTGTTTTTGAGCCACATTCAGTAAATACACACTAACTAGGGAAGAAGATTTCAATTTATCCTAATTTCAAAACCACTAATTAATAAAAGTATCAAAGGATGTTGGGTGTAATGATTAAAAATTATATAGATATTCCTAAATTCACATGGATAGTTAAAATCTTGATCTTTAAGAATGTTTTGAATTTTTTAATCGTACAAATAGTAATTGAGTCTATGCTAATGAGCTCTCTTTTTATTTTAACTTATTAAGATAATGTGTATGATTAAAAACATTTTTTTGTTAGATCTAAAGCGCACAATATTCACTGTGTCCTCTGTTATCGTTTCATGACAATTTATTTTTGAGTTCAAAAAGATTAGTCTATATTTATTTCGAAAAGTACCGAATTTCGACTTCATTGCTTTGGAATAAGATGCAATACAACAGAACGAAACACGTACCATCGTTTATATATATATATTTCTTTTATCTTTTTTCATAAGACTTTCTGTAAGATACTTATCAATCTTGTGTATAGCTCATGTATGCGTAAATGATACATTAATTATCCACTATTGGTACAATTCAAATAGGAAAAACTTGATAAAACATCAAATTTAAAGGAATCGCTAGTTATTTTCTTACAAATTAACTAAGAGGACATCAAATAATATCATGCATTGCGAATAGTATCAGTATAAATAAAAGAAATATCTTAATTATATCTTTCTTTGACTATTTTCTGTCCATTAACGAAACGAAGAGCTCAACATCTTTGTCAATCGTATTGTTGCAGTTTTCTGAGTTGCTCAAAATAATGGAAGAGATAAAGAATGGTACTACAATAAAGTTGACGATAATAATAGAATTGAATTTTCTTCGTTTGATTCACTACATCCTAAGATCATTGCACTCGTTGGTAAAAACACTATGTCCTTATTGGTTTATCTCGATTTCAAATGAGCTATTAATAGAAATTGAATTTTCTAAATTAATTTTGACTCATATCAAATTTCAAAACAAGAAATAGAGAATATTTGAATATTTTGTAAAAGAAAAATCATTTTCATAGAGATGTACGCTACATATATATAAAAACAAGAACAAGATTATACAAACATTGCTACTATCACTCTTATTCCAACTATAGATTGTTTTTAAATAAATACCGACACGATATATTTTATGAAAATAAACGAATAAATGTTTGATTAACTGCTATAACCATTATTAATCATTGTTTAACATATGTTGCTCTTTGCTTAACCTCTGCTAAGATGAAATGTTTATAGGCAAAAAAAATATTCACTCACAAACAGGTTGGGCATGATAAATTGGATAAGATGTTAATGCATTTTTTTTCTATTTCTGGGACAAATAGAAAATTTCTTTATCTATGAATAGATAGAGAATTTCAAGCTCTACAAAATTATTGATTTTGTTTTTCAAAGAAAGCTTTTCTTGTTGATGCAAAATTATTAATTTGTGCAAGCTTTTGCTCATGAAGAGCAATGATTAAAGTATAAATTATTGAACATAAATAGGAACTAATACCTGTCAATATTTTTCAGTGCACCTTGGAAAAACCATATTTTCAAAAGTCAGACACGCTCTATAAGATATTTATTATTTTGTCATCAGATTTAAAATTAAATTCTGAACAAAATGGTATAAGTTTTAAATTAAACGATGCGTGGTTTACAAAAAAAAAAAAAACTTTTTTTTTAGTAATTTTCCATTTTTTTTCTCTAAAAACTGTTTCTGTCAAATATTCCTTTCAAAAATCTAAAACATCCATCCAAATATGCAGAATTTTACAGAGAATTTCGTGAAGTAGTTGAAACTTTACTGAAATTTTTATTTAAAACATTTTGCTCATTCTTTCGGGATTTTTGACAGTTGCAGTTGGACGATTAAGTAGGAACTTATCTTTGAAATTTTGCGCGGGTGTGAGTGTGGGTGTCGGAGAAGACATCTTCACCCACACCCACACTCTCGAGAGAATATAGCAAGATTTCATGATATACTATGAAAAAAAATCCCAAGCTTCTCTGATATATAGATAGTCAAAATTCATTTTCTAACAAATAAAAAGCTAAACATTTAATTTTACATAGGTCAGGACTAATCAATGTTAAAATATCGGGTTACTGTATTTGTAAAAAGTTCCAGAAAAGACTAAAATATTTTACATAATTCTAAGAATTGCAGCAGAAAATTTCACTGAGATAGAATGTACTAGTAGTTTCAGACAAACAAAGATGATTGAGAAGCTAATAAAATCAAATGCAAACTGAATTTTTGAGATCATATTTCATTAGAATGAGATGATTGAATTCGAATTTATAGATTAATTCTACCAATAAAAATGTTATTTTTCTAGCTATTTTCCCCATGGATTCTGATGTCAAAACAGTTTGTATTATGATATTGAATGTTGTCCTATTTTTAAGATAGTAAATAGGTTTTTTCTCCTAATATTATCCTCATTTAATGAAGTTATCAACGATGTTAAGTTTAAAAGAAAAGCTTTTCTGTCTGTCTATATTCGGATAAATATCGTTTTTCTTGATTTTAAAATATTTCAATCATTAAAATTATATTATTAAAGTTACTTTTCTTTTTTTTTTTGGGTGAAATCAAGGAATGTAGACAAAAAACCATTACGATTTCTCGCTCATTACGGTCAATATGCG